ATTTAAAGAAGAAAACATAAACGTAATGTATCAATTCTTTCATTTAAGGTTTTCATAATTTGTAAATTAGGGGAAGCTTAGAGTCTTAGGTTTTGAGAGTCCCTTATGTGGGTGTAAGTCACTCTTGTCTCTTTTGATACTTGTGGTAGACGTAATGTTCTCACTCAGAAGCCTTTAGTTAATGAGTTGAGTATTGTTCTTGGTTGAAGCTTTTAAGAAAAACCAAGTAGTTAAGACTCTTAACTAAGTATTTTTTTATATCGGAAGTGTAATCTTCTAAATTGAGTTGTTCTTGATACAATCACTAGGATTGGGACTGTTAGATATCATTGAGGTGATTAGGAAGTGAGATGGTATTTCTCATATCTAGATGATGATTTCTAGGTAGAAGTTTCACAAGGTAGTGATCAAGTGAGAAGTTGTAAACTGGGACTGTTTAGGCTTAAAATTAATATTGTTATAGTGAATTTTCTTTCTGGCTTGGTAGCCCTCATATGTAAGTGATGTTGCACCGAACTTGGTTAAAAACTATATGTGTTATTTATCATTTTGCAGTTTAGTTTTCGTATCACTTACAATTTGTTTGTCAACAGATGTTGTAACATATGTAGTGACATTGTTCTGATGTTGGGACATCAGTATTAACATGTGTTGCAAGTGCTAGAAATTTTTAAATTCTTTTACATTAAATATGCATTATTATTCATATATATGTTAAACATGGTTTAACTTGTTAGACCACTTATTCCAACATCATGTTCGACATCTATCCCCTCAGGGACATGATTACAATTGGCATCAAAGCAGGCATCCTGCTCAATTTGGGTGAGCTCCAGGAAGGATATTTTCTGTTCACATGGACAAGACTAAACATGGAGTTTTAGTCAATAGGACGCATGTGATCACTTCTCAAGATGGTTCTATAAGCTTAAAGCCTGAAGATGTTTGTTTTAAAGCTGGAGATGAAGAAGCTCTTGGAAACGAAAAAACCTTGAATGCCATATTCAATGGCATTGACAATAATATGTTCAGACTGATCAACACATGTACGGAAGTCAAATAAGCTTGAGAGATACTCAAGACTTCTAATGAAGGCACATCCATGTTATGATGTCAAGGCTCTAGCTCCTTATAATTGATTTTGAAAATCTAAGGATGATGGAAGATGAATCCATATCTTATATCAACATTAGATTTCATGATATAGCCAACAATTTTTGTTTTGGGAGAAAAGATGTTCGAAGAAAAGATGGTAAGAAATATTCTCAGATCCTTACCTCATAAGTTTGACATGAAGGTAACTGCCATAGAAAAAACTCAAGACTTAAGCACCATGATGGTTGGTGAACTCACTGGGCTCCTACAAACCTCTAAAGTTTCTATAAATGGAAGATTATAAAAGAAGAACAAAGGTGTAGCGTTTGTATTCAACACTCAAGATAAGGTTGTTCAAGAAGCTAAGGATACCGAGGATAGTTTTTCAAATTTTATACCTTAATTGATAGAAATTTCAACAAATACTTGAGAAGGCTGGACAAACAATAGAGGACAAGTATGAAAGATAAGATGTGACACATCAGTCCCCAAATCAAGTTCAAAGATGAAGACAACTATATCAAAGGAAAAGGTCCTAAATGTTATGAATGTGATGGATTTGGTCATATCAAATCTGAATGTCTTACCTTCCTAAAGAAAGAGAATAAGAGGTTATCAATCGCTTGGTCTGATTTTGATAATGACAGTGAAGGAGAAACAACAAACTTTGTGATGGCGTTCACTGGGAAATATGTGTCAAAAGAGAAAAACATGTCTTTAGAAAAACCTAATGTAACATATGTAATGCAACATACAAAGTGGGGGAAACCTGCTTGACAATGGAGAATCAGAAGAAAACCATAAGTGTGCTTTAGAAGGAAAAGGAGATGATTGTCTCAACCATCACAACTATGGTAGATGAAGTAAATTTACTAAACTTCGAACTTGAACATATGACAAAATCTATACGTATGTTTAACAATGGATATAACATGTTAGATGAAATATTGGAGGTTGGAAAGATGTTTAGAAATCGGAAGGGATTTGGTTTTGATTCCAACATGATTAAGAAAAACAAAAGTCTCTCTAAGAAGTTTGTTCCTTCTGAGAAAAAGACAAATTTTATTATGGTGGATCACATGTCCCATAATCTTGCTCAACATGTACTTCCTCATCACATGAATCACAAGAAATCATCTTGGAGATGTCATCATTATGATAGATATAGACATATAAGGCCTTATTATTACAAACTATATGGTTATCCTATGTCCTATAGTAAACCAAGACTGGAGAGAAAGGATGATAAGAAAGTTCAAGTAAAGAAGGCGTGGAAACCCAAAGTTGCTACCAATTGTTTCATTCCTCGCACATCTTAGAGTTTCCTCAATAAAATATTGTTATTTTAATAGTGGGTGTTCCAGGCACATGATTGGTGAGAAGACTTACTTAAGGATTTAAAATCTTACTCAAACAGTTATGTCACTTTTGGCGATAAAGCAAAATAAAGAATAAAGGGAATATGAAAGATGGTTAGTCTTGGTCCACCCTGTCTCAATGATGTGTTACTAGTATAAGGTTTAACTGGAAATTTGATCAGCGTTAGTCAACTATGTAATCAAGGCCTGAATGTAAACTTTAACAAATTTGAATGTATTGTCACCAGTAAGGATCAAGAAGTTCTCATGAAGGGATCCAGGTTTAAACATAAATGTTATATGGGGATATATCATCCCTCACCTTGCATGATATTTAAAGTTGATGAAACTAAGTTATGGAATCAAAGACTTGGGCATCTCAATCTGAAAGGCATGAAGAAGGCTATTTTTGTTGAAGCCGCCAGAGGATTGTATAATTTTAAGATTGAAGAAGGAAAAATATGTGGAGAATGTCAAATAGAAAAGCAGACCAAGATGTTCCACAAAAAGCTTCAGCATCTGACCACCTCAAAATTACTTGAATTACTTCATATGGACCTCATGGGGCCTATTTAAGTGGAAAGTCTTGATGAAAAAATATATGTTTTTGTTTGTGTGAATGATTTTTCAAGATATATATGGGTTAACTTCATTAGAGAAAAATCTGATACTTTTTAAGTATTCAAAGACTTATGTCTATGTATCCAGAAAGAGAAATGAAGTGATAATATAAAGATAAGAAGTGACCATGGCAAGGAGTTTGATAACTCCAAGTTCTCTCAACTTTGCTCTACTAAATGGATTAGTCATGAATTTTCTGCTCCTATCACACCTCAACAAAATGGGATGGTTGAAAGCAAAAATAGAACTTTACAAGAAGTTGTTAATCATGCTATATACAATGAATCTACTTTATCATTTCTAGATTGAAGCCATAAACACTACGTGCTATATTCCAAATAGAGTGACTATCAGATTCAGAATCAATGCCACTCTGTATGAACTATGGAAAGGGAGGAAACCAAATATTAAATACTTCCATGTCTTTGGTAACAAGTGTTACATCTTGCATGATCGTGAACAAAGGAGAAAGATGGATCTAAAGAATGAGGAATAGATATTTCTTGGATACTTTATCTAACTAACAGACTGAGGCCAAATGTTGGAACACATGATGGAACGTCTTGTTCCACATGTTGTCTTTGTACAAAGTACATCTTGTACATATGTTGTTTTACCTAATGCATCCATTCAAAAGAAACACCATGATGGTTCATAAGATCGAGTTTCACAACCATCTACTTCTACTTCCCAAAGTCACCTATCTCAACCATCTACTTAATGGCACCACATGTCCCCTAACTCTGAAGCACGTGAGGCCAATTAGAAGAAACTCGTTGTTGATGTGTATTTCCCTATAGATAGATATCCATGAGGCCCATATGACACCTCTTAAATTCATCTCTATGGAAACCATGTTGTTATGCATGTCTGAGAATGAGAGATATATTTATTTACTTTTGCTTTACATTTGTTTTAAATTAATTTAATTGTGATGATAATGATATATTTATTTTTATATGAGTGTCTATATTTAAAATCCGTAATCTACAAAAGAAAGATATTGGATTTGGAACAGTCCCCAAAAAGATCGGTTCTAGAAATTTTTTCGCTACTTTGGGGTTGTCGGTTTATGTGTTGTTGTGTACATGACATAAACCATGACATGTAGGCGGCATTTGCAAAGCGATTGAACTCAGAGACGTCATATTTCCACCTTCCTCTTGGCGAGATGTTAATCAATTTGATCTACCTTAAATACTTCATCGATTTAACGGTGATTCAAGAGTACAATTGAAGGCCGCTTGTTTGGTCTACATGTACTTGAAGTTTGGTGAAAGATGTCTTTGAAAGACAAATGAGTTGACATGTTGCACGCTGCTTATGATAATTTATTGTTACTATTATTTTCATTAAAAAAAAATTTACATGTGTTACTCATTTTTTATCTCAACCGTTTTCATGGATGAATCATCTCTCACTTTTCTCGTATTTTCGGGTAGGAACATGTGTCTGACTACACTTAGGACTGACCATGTGTTGCTGCCTTATCCTATACAGAGGGAATCAAGCGGTTAAGCTCTTATGACATTACCTTCTGAAAAAATTATGTATGATCCGTACATTTACTTAATGTATGACTTTTTTTATTGTATGTGTAGTATATTTAAATCAATTAATGTGTTTTTTTTTAATCTATGATCTAAAATACCGTAAAATATAAGTTGGCTTAAGAAAATATCAAAATGTATTTACAATTTTCGAATACAAAATGTATTTCTTGATTAGATGACCTAGGTGGTCCTGATAGTATATTTTAATTTTGAAAATATTGTTTTATTTATTTATGAGTAATAGTACATAATATTTACTACAATGATTTCTCCCTTATAAAAAGGTGCGGAGATATCAAATATATACAATTACAGTGGTATTACATTTTTGGTAACATAAAAGACATTAACATCATTTCCGTACTAACCAGGATCATGTATCTTTGATGGTGCTTGAGACTTGCTTTCTTTTAAAAATTCCCCATAAATAATAATACTTTGAATGAAATCCTGTAAAATGGGCAACTCAAAAAGTTAGATATAATTATTAACAAACAATAAAATATATAAGAAGAAGTAGCATATATGAAATGGAATGTAACTCACTCTTATATTGTCTTGGGAGCAATGTGGAAGGAAAAATTAAAAGCTCAGTTTTTTCAACCATGACTCTAATGGCAAGATCTTTGGAAATCATTTCATCAACTAGTTTGTCATAATATCTCTCAACCCTGTACAAATACATTAACAATTAATTCAACACTAGTTTCAAATATGAGCATAGAGATTATATTCTTGTTTAATTAAATATTATTAAAAATAACAATATACATATTCAAAATAAAGTTAATTTTATAGGATGTCGCTACCGCGAGACCTATGATGTTAACATCACTTTTATCAAATTGCAGTAAGACCTAGGATGTTTTACAGGACTGAATGTTTGGTGCTTAAAAATCAACAAAGAAATAAAGTAAATGTAAAAGAGATGAAGATGTTGCATTTGATGCATGGTAAGAGTAGACATGATAAGATAATAAAGGACAATATTAAAGAGAGACCGGTGAGGTAACACCTATAGAAGAAAACATGATAGAAAATAGACTTAGGTGGTTTGATCATGTAGAAAGAAAAACTTTAAATTCTATTGTACGAGGAGTAGATCAGGTGGAAAGGAGTCAAACTACTAGAGGTAGAAGAAAACTTAAAAAACTATAATAGAAACTATCAAAAAGATCTTAAGATAAACAAATTGAATAGAAACATGGTATTCAACAGAATATGTAACTGAACTCCACTTAGTGGCTTAGTGGGATAATGCTTGATTTTGGTTATTGTCACGGGCGAAAGCATATCTTTAAATACCTAAAAATGTTTTTTTATGTCTTAATGCAAATACTTGAAAATAGAAAACAAAAGTAATATTTCTATAAACAAGAAATTAGAAGGGAAAAAACTTCATCAAATCAAACATGTTCTTAAGAGATTAGCAAAAATGTCACCTTTCATTCTCAGGAAAGATATAGAGGCCAATGCTCAGATTATTTGTTCCAAATTTCTTGAAGCTCTCTGGCCACACAGCTGATCTTTGAAGCAAGTTTGCATAAAGCACATCAGGGAGATGTCTTGTCTCCTCAAGAACTTTAGGGCAAGCTAATGTGGACAAATGGCCCATTAGTCCACTGATTTTATCAAAGCTTTTGTTGAAAAGCTGCAAACTTCCACTATTTAACAGAAAATTCAACGTCAGACAACGCTTTTTCTTTAGCAGCTAGGACAAATTCATTAATTCCAAGCGACGGTAACAGAAGCTACAAAACATGGTTTTTACCTCCATATTGAATCAGCAATAGGCTGTGGATCAACAACAACTTCATCTTTTTCTGATTCTAGAGTCTCACTGTTAGGATGATTTGCTTCTACTACCATTTCTTCACAATCCTCACAAAACCAAGTAACCTTGTCGGTAAAAACCACAGGACCGGCTAAACAATATCTGAAAAGAAGTTTAGATATAGATAAGGCTAAAAGATTTCAGTCTACTAGAACCATAACTCTTGATAAAAAATAAGCGCCTCTCTAAGCATATGTGTATCGTGCGGGTATATGCACTAGTGTCCATATGATATGGCAATAAAAGTAGACGTGTCTGCTAAAGAGTAAGTACATGTCATCTTCACATGGAAATAGTAAGTTTAAAGTACCTATGCATTGCATAATCTCCACATTTGCTGCAATATACTATTGCCTCTTCAAAGCCTTCATCGCCACATGTAAGACAAACAGACATCTGCAACAAGCAAGCAAAGTTTTAATGTAATGATACATAAAAAGTTGTATATAACAACAAAAAACCACACATTTTAACGAAAAAAAAGTACAGCATAATTTGATACTTTCTTTTGAAATCAGAATATGAGAAATACCTTAAGAACCTTAGTTTTCCCTGATTCAGGGGAAAGATCGACATCCATCTTCATTTCCGCTTGAGAATTTCCATATTCAGTTTTGGTTTCAGCACCGACCTCTAAAGCGACATCAATCTCCATTAAGACAGGTGGTAGCAGTTCAATATCTGTTTCCCCAGCAGGATGTTGGCTCTCACTATATAATATGGCTTCCGACACATGAGGTTCTGTTTCAGTATCTAGACCATGTTCAGTTACAGGCTCAAAACTTGACCCCGCTGCATCTGGCAGTAGGGATGCAAGTGGTTCTTTATATATTTCTACCGCTGTAGAATCAGAATTCACAACTTCTGTTATAGAACCGGCAACGTCGTGCAACTCCATTGAGATTGAATGTTGCTGATTATTTGAATCAACGATAAGATTCTGAATCTCATTATGCACTTTGCTATCTGACATTCCGGTCTGTATAACTGCTACTGGTGTGGATACCTCAAAAGCAATAGGAGATTGTGGTGGTGCTATTACGATTGCACCCGAATCAGAACATGTGCCTTCGGTCGAGGTATTAATATCAGAACCTGCAGTGGCATGGAACTCCATTGATATTGAGTGTGGTTGATCATTTGTTTCCACACTATGATTTTGAACCTCGTGGAGTTTTGTGCCTTCTTCTACTTCGATCAGGGAATTGATTTGAATTGGAGGTTCAAAACTTGATTCCGCTGCTGGTGATGGTGATAGTACCTGAGAAGTCACAAGTCCTTGTGGTAGTGCTATTACTATTGCATCAGAGTCAGAAGAATTATCTTCAGCCACTGTGCTAATATTACAACCACCAAGGGCTTGTAGCTCCATTGAGATTGATTGCGGCTCATCATTTGTTTCCACACCACATTTGTTAGCAGCATAGGCTTCTTTACTAGTTTGAGAACTCCGATCATGTTTAATCTCTTCTCCACTTGAAGTTTTATGTTTCATTGATTGTTCGTGTAGTTGTAAAACCCTTCTTCGATGTCCCATTCCTTTATTATGAATTTCCATACACTTGGCACTCAACTTAAGATCACAAATTTCACATTGTAAAAGCGGTGGTAAGCACTTCTTATTATCACAGTCTTCGGGTGTTTGTTGTGGTAAGCACTTCTTATCAGCAGAGTCTTTAGGTGTTTGTTGAGATAAGTTCTTATCAACAGAGTGTTCTGACGTTTGATGAGGTAACTGCCTCTTATCGGCATAGGCTTCAGACGTTTGATGAGGTAACTGCCTCTTATCGGCATAGGCTTCAGACGTTTGTTGAGGTAATTGCCTCTTATCAGCATTGTGATCTGGTGTTTTGTGTGGTAAGCACTTGTTAGCAGCACAGTCTTCTGGATTTTGATTTGGTAAGTGCATCTTATCAACCAAGTCTTCTGTCTTTTGATGCGGCAAGCACATTTTATCTTCATATTGTACCGGAGTTTGATTTGGCAAGTGCTTGTCATCTGTACACTGTTCCACTGTTTGATGTGGCAAGTGCATGATATCAGCACAGTGCTCTGCCGTTTGACGTGGCAAGTGGCTCATATCAGCATAGTGTGCAGGCGTTGGATGCGGCAAGTGTCTGTTATCAGCATAGTGTGCCGGCATTGGATGTGGCAAGATATCAGTACAGTGCTCTGCCGTTTGATGTGGCAAGTGGCTCTTATCAGCATGGTGTGCAGGCGTTGGATGCGGCAAGTGTCTATTATCAGCATAGTGTGCCGGCGTTGGATGTGGCAAGTGCCTATTATCAGCATAGTGTGCCGCCTTTTGATGTTGCCAGTGCCTATTATCAGCATAGTGTGTCGACGTTGGATGTGGTAAGTGTCTATTATCAGTTGGAGTTTGATGTGATAAGTGCATGTTATCAACATGATGCATCGGTATTTGATGTGGTATGTGTCTGTTATCAGCATAGTGTGCCGGCATTGGATGTGGTAAGTGTCTATTATCAGTTGGAATTTGATGTGATAAGTGCATGTTATCAACATGATGTGTCGGTATTTGATGTGGTATGTGCCTGTTATCAGCATAGTGTGCCGGCGCTTGATGTAGTATGTGCCGGTTATCAGTCGGAGTTTGATGTGATAAGTGCATGTTATCAACATGATGCGTAGGTATTTGATGTGGCATGTGCCTGTTATCAGCATAGTGTGTCGGCGTTGGATGTGGTAAGTGACTATTATCAGTTGGAGTTTGATGTGATAAGTGCATGTTATCAACATGATGCGTCGGTATTTGATGTGGTATGTGCCTGTTATCAGCATAGTGTGTCGGCGTTGGATGTGGTAAGTGTCTATTATCAATTGGAGTTTGACGTGATAACTGCATGTTATCAACATGATGCGCCGGTATTTGATGTGGTATGTGCCTGTTATCAGCATAGTGTGTCGGCGTTGGATGTGGTAAGTGTCTATTATCAGTTGGAGTTTGATGTGATAAGTGCATGTTATCAACATGATGCGTTGGTATTTGATGAGGTATGTGCCTGTTATCAGCATAGTGTGTCGGCGTTGGATGTGGTAAGTGTCTATTATCAGTTGGAGTTTGATGTGATAAGTGCATGTTATCAACATGATGCGTCGGTATTTGATGTGGTATGTGCCTGTTATCAGCATAGTGTGCCGGCGCTTGATGTGGTATGTGCCGGTTATCAGCATAGTGTGTCGGCATTTGATGTGGTATGTGCTGATTATCAGCATAGTATGTCGGCATTTGATGTGGTATGTGCTGGTTATCAGCATAATATGCCGGCATTTGATGTGGTATGTGCCGGTTATCAGCAAAGGCGTGATGGCCACTACGGTGAGGAATTTGTCCCTGACTAAAATCAGTGGATGACATATTATTCCAGCCACCTGTATAATTGTTTTGAGAATTTCCGTTCTGCAAATAAAGACTCAAACACGAAAAAATGAATTATTAGATATAAAATCAATCCCGTCTTTCACCGAACAACTTAAGCGTTTGAAACAATTGACTCATGACATAGTGCGTAGATTGGTATCATGGCAACATTCAGACTCAACTACCTCGACTTTCTTGCATTAAGGTTAAAACACTAAACCATTTGAATGATTCTACCATTCAAAAACAAACTAAATCACCCAAACCATACATTAAACTTAATATCCAAACCAAATTTTGAAAAGCATTCACATTCCACATTCAGAGTTGGAATATTATCATTAATGTAGTCAAGCACGAGATCTTAAGCAGGATCGGCCGGCTTGTAAAAGATTGTAAAATTCGGATAGTTAGCACGGTACGTAAGATCCGACCGAAAGGAAAATGGTAATTTCATATATTTATACACACATACAGAAAAACATGGAAATTATAATTCAGGCCCACGAAAAGGCCCAACACGTTTTTTTTACAATCTTGCTTCAAAAAGCTCGATCTCGACCACACCAGTGAAAAAATGATCTTTCTCTTATCATAGCACTCTCAACTCAAGCATCCTTGGCACATAAGATCTTACGATCCAACACTTGATCTTGACTACACTGATCATTACGACACAAATCAAGACAAAAATTCTAACATGTCAACATTTACTACAAGTATCATCAAGACAAAAATTCTAACGTGTCAACATTTACTACAAGTATCATCATTTACATATTATGATATCGTCATTTTTGATATAGTAACCCGACACTTACACACAAACATCTAACTTTAGACTAATCATTCAGAATTCAAGAAATTTCAAACAAACTTCAGAGTACAGAGAGACAAAATCAACCTATTTCTAATAAAGCAAATTCGGTCAATATAAAACTTTGGATGAGTTCAACTATAACCTAATTCAGAAAGAACTCAAATCCAGCATTTTCCTAAAAACCTAATTCATATGTTATTTACCCTAATTCAGAGAAATTCATTCATAATCAACATTTTCCAAAAACCCCAATAAAAAAACAACAGAGGTTCAAACAAAATAGACAACATTGGTAAACAATTTTTCAATAAACATAAACAAAAACTAACCATTGTTGTGTCGATTTAGGGTTTGTCCAAGAAAAATTGAGAAAATTGCGGTCGAAAATAGTAGAACCCGCGAAGGTTTATTCAGTGACTAATGTGAGAAAAATGAAAGCCGGACGCATAGGATGAGTTTTTGTATAAATTATTGCTATGTTAAGTGTATGTAAATTAAACTCAAAATAAAATAGATAATGTTATCGAATTAATTAAATAATTGTATTAGAATTTGTTTTTTCTTTTGGTATGATGTAGCATGAAATTTAATTGGTACAATTGAAATTAAAATTAAGTAATGTAAGTGAATTTTTTTTAAATATTTAAATATTCAAATAACCAACATTTCACATTATTCAACAAAATATTTATTGTTTTAAATATAAAAAAATTATAATTAAGAAGATGCGTCAATGTTATAGACGAATACACTCAGATTTATACATTGGCGCAGATCCTATGACACATACACTACTATCATGTTACTGGAAGTGATGTATGATTTGAGGGCCTAAAAGGAGGCGTTAGTATTCCTGACGCTATAGTGTATTATTTTTTTTAATTTAGTTATAATTAATTAAAAATAAATAAATTGGAAAACAAAAATAAATAAATATTAATTTTATTAAACTTAAATAGAATTGTAATGCGGAAAATTTTGTAAACATATTTTATCGACATGTTTGATTATAACGGCCATCGATTCTAAAATTTAATGGTGCCCTTTGTCATTGAGGTTGCACAAGATTTTCAATGAGGTGGTTGTTGTCTTCCATGATTCATCTGAGGTGTTTGATGGCTCCCTGGATTCACCCGATGTGTTTGGAACGAGGTCCCTAAAACATTAGTGTCATCAATGAAATATAGCATCTCTCGCCAGTTACATGTTGTCGTAATCGAATTTGGTGTCCATGTTATCGTAGTTGGATCGTGTTTGTTGGGTTACGGGTGGGGGCCGGTTGGTTGAATTGAGACGTTGATTTGTTTTGGAAATAAAGCAGTGGTTGTTGTGGTGTTTGATAGGCATGTGTTGGTTGGGCGTTTTGACGGTGCGATGATTTGGTGCTTTGGTGATGTGATGTTTGGGTGTACATTTGTTGGAGGCTATGGTAGGACGTGGCGGTATCATATGCATCATCGGTGCTATAGTAATATGTGGTGGTGAAATATGTTTGTTGGTGGTATGGGTATGTAGACCACGAGCAAGAGTCGTTACCTTCGAGCCATGTGTATTGTTTGCCTGACCATATGACAAACTTGAACTTGGATAAGACGAACCATCCTCAAATATCTTTTACAACCCATATATGAAGACGAAGGGAGCGCTAAAACTAGGATACATGTTTCATACAAAAGAAGGTTGTGTGAGAGTTATAAAAAAGTTTTACATGGAAAACTCAACTGGTTATACTATAGATTACATTGATGTAGGGGAGGTACATCATTTTATGTTGTAACATGTTTTGCATGTTCAGGATGGCAGCATCTTACACGAAGAGAAGTGATTATCAGGAGATAAGTTATATAGATCCACCTCACACTTGCATTACCACCAATTTAATGCACGGTCACCGTAAACTAAGCTTCCATATAATATGCCAAGAAATCTTGCCTCTCGTTAGCAAGGATTTGTCATTAAAGGTGAGTACAATAATCCCCAATATCGTTACACTGTACAATTATACTCCCTTATACAGGAAGGTGTGGATAACAAGAACTGAGTGATCGGTAAATTAGCAAGTGTACTAATTCGCCAATGTAGTAATAATGTGAAATCTCAAAGTATGGATCTCAAGGACTACGTATCAGTATCAAGTTCAATGTGTGGTTCAATTAAACAAAAACTTGAATTGGCGTTTTGGTTTCGAAATTGTCACTTAACAATAAGCAGATATATAAATTGGATTTTCACTAATATGAGAAGCATGCTAGGGGTAAATGTGTGATTTGCCCCTGTAATAACCTTGACTGTTGATTTCTTCAACAAGTTCATTACCTTCAACTACCAAATCTTTAGTTTGTTTTCCCCTAAGTCCTTAGTGGGAAAACCTTTGGTCATTCATCCTAATACCTAGATCCTTAGAGAATTATGATAAAACCAAGCATTTATTTTATCAATATTTTACCGATAACGATAGGGTATCCCTAGTCCTATGTGATATCTACTATAGTTTAATCGTTCAAAAACCTTAATAATGGCGGTTCAGCTCTAATTGTTAATCGTAAATCAATCCTTATTTGTTCGATAGGAAAAGAATAAGAACATTGAACAATTAAATTGAAAGGAAACTATTGTATCAAAATCAAGAATTCAAAATTATTACATTTTCAAAATAGAGACACCTCCTAGCATGGGAGGGTTTAGCTACTCATATTGTTCAAAATAACTATAAGATAAAAACTAGACATTACAAATAGTTGGATAACTTTGATCTTCAATTGTTTCTGCTTATGTGAATCTTCCGCTCACCAAGAACCTTGGTATCTCCAATTTTCAATCTTGTAAACTATTCTTCGCTGGCAAAAAGTCTCTTCTTCCGTAGTAAACTATCTCAAATAGGGAAAAACCCTTGGTTCTGGTCCAAAATGTCAAAAATGCCTTTTTCGAGTCAAGCTTGGTGGAAAAATCCCAAAATCATAAAAAAATCAGCATCTTAGCCAACACAGCCCATGTCAGCTGACACGGGTGGCCGTGTTGGCTCCTTTGAAGCTTCACAAATCTTGTCTTTTAAAATGGCTGACACGTCCCGTGTCAGGTGACACGGGTGGCCGTGACAGGCCTCCTGAAACTTCAATATTCCATTCACGAAATTTTTGATTTCTTAACTTCATCGCACCGAGTACCTTAGATCCTTCACCTGAACCTGGAACAGTCACAACAACCAACTAAAGCATAACACACACAAATACTAGAAATAAACTAAAAATCATAAAAAATGAAGAACTAAATAAACATCAAAACAAATCTAACGATAACAAAATACGACACAAAGCGATGCAGAATACCTGGAGTATTGTCGGGCAAGTGACATAAACATAGTGAAAATGGTGACTGATCATAACCCCAAACTTATCTCGTTGCTTGTCCCAAGCAATGTTCAGAACACAAAGAATCGGACACCCTCAAAATATAAACTTACCACAATATCGTCGAGATCTTTCGCAACTTGATTATACTTTCCTTCCAAATTTCTCTGCTTCCGCGAACCAAGTGTTCTACCACACTTCCACCTTAAAACCCTACTTCACCTGTTAGCTTATATCACACTCTCACCAAGTATCTCAGGGTTAAAGTATTGTCACTCATAATTCAAAGTATGCAATATCAACTCTTAAGTCTGAATAAACTTTAAAATAATTTCACCTACACATTCCACACACTTTTTGAGGTCTTTAGATTGTAACAGGGCTTAGGATACAGTGGGATAAACAAAAAAGTAGAAAAAACAAAGGGTTTTTGGTTCAGCTCAGTGTTATCATCCTTTCACTGTGTTATTTTTTTCTTTTCATGATTTATCACATGGGATTGCTTAGACACCTTTTTTAGTTTGACTTCTCGGTTTCGTCTCACTATTTCTTTGAGCATGTATCTTTATTTTCTAAGCTGAGTCTAATCATTAGGTAAGTGCACTTTTCTTTTTTTTTTCTTTCTTTTTCATCATTCAACTTTCATTTTTTTCCGATTCTCTTTTATTTTCCTTTTTGTTGCACTTACCTAATTTATTACCGGTGTCCCAACCCCAAACTTAGAACTTTTATAGCTCTGAGGTACATAACACCTAACTGAGCAAGGGTAATGGACATATTTTGGGCTAAGGGTTAACATATGTAGTACTACACAAACAAAAGGCTACGGTCTCAATGGGGTTAACAAAGGATAATAAAACAAATGGGATGGCTAGAAAGGCTCCAGAGTAAAAGGAAACAATGTGCCTGTTCACTGTGTTTTCTGGTAAACAACCGCTGATCTTCCAAAAAGGGTAACTTTTTGGTTACTCGCAGGATCGATCAGTTTGATCCTATGACATATGCTAATTTGTGATGTTGTTTGGACATAAACGTTAATGTGAGTGAAGAACGCACGTTTGACTGGGAAAGGGATGGGTTTGAGTGCAGAAAGTAAATAGAACAAAGGGGTCGAGGAGAGTTTAGGTACAGAAATCTGGGTAAAAGTGCAGATAAAGTACAAACAAGATAAAAATGCAAGAAATTTAAAGAGAGAAGTAAAAGACTTTGATTGTAAAATGTGGTGTTTCAAACGTACATTTTTTAGTATTCTTTCGCACGCAGCGGGTACTTGAATAATATTGAATAATTTGTACGATCAGTTGAACACACGGAAATCTACATAAAATTCCTATATTTATACTAAAACTAGGTAACCGTCGAGGAGTTGCCTTTCTCTAAGATAAATACAAGTGTCTTTTGCATGTGCTTCGACCCCTCTTTTCACGCCACGTTGCTTTCCTCAACTGCCAAGCGAATTGTTTTTCCCTCCTTTCTTCAGATTCAAAATCTTCTGGGGCAGATACAAAGTTCTCTTCTGGTCGAAGACCTTGGAGTCTCTTCAGTCGAAGGGATTGAGAACCTTCTGGTCGAAGACTCAATTTAACTTAGAATTTCTCTAAGTACTTTTCTGCTTTGTTGAAGCCTTTCCAACTTAGACTTGTTTAATCTATTTTTGGCCCATAAGGCCAACTTTTTGTAGGTGTCGAATTTAGGAGCTAACAAATCCCCCCCCCCCCCCCCCCCAGAATATCAGTTTCGACGCAAGGAGAGATGATTATTCTTTGAGATTCCCATTCGACACCTGTCTTTCTCTTGACCACATAAATCTCTTATGTGCTTTTCGCCTTCTACCAACCCCTGCTGGTATTCAGAGTCATCATTACCTTTTTCTCAACATGTCACTGTCAATCAGTCGTTACCACGCTGCCATGATGGCCATTATCCCTACGACCGAGGAAAGTATGGCAAACGTTTTCATTTCTTGTACGATAACTGCTTTAATG